GCAGAAGCAGGTCACTCTCTGCAGTGACTCCCACTTCATCTGAGCACCAGCAACTCAAAAACACTGTATTTCCATGGCCAATTTCTGAAGGCAGAAGCCAGAAAATCATCAAAAGATGAATTACTGCCTCCCTCTTCTCCATCCCTATTTCCCTACCCCAAGGTGGGTATACCTCTGTCTCCCACTCCTCCTTGTGCTGCTTCCAGTGTCTGTGTACACACTGAATCAGGGAATTAAGACCAAAATTAACTGATCTAGTTAATTACTACAAACAGTAGTGCTTGTAGGCAGCAGGACTCACAGCTGTCCTGAGGTTCCCCAGAGGCACCACCAAGGCAACCTCTTACCACAAGGGGAAGCACCTGTCTCTCCTGTCTCTAGATAACCACATATATTTGTCTTCACAATGGGGACCTTTTTGCAGGTATTACTATAATGGAAGCAATCAACAGAGTGTTCTTTTTTTCATCTTACTGTTGTCACCCAACACTCTTCCAAAGATGGATGGACATTTATGGTTTTACAAGTTCAGGTCTCATATGTAAAATAGGTTCTGAGTAGGCAATTACAGAGGACACAGCTCTGACCACAAGATGGATTTGACTTCAACAAATGCAGGAGCAGTAGCTTCCCCACTGTTCCTCAGGAATGACCTTGCTTGGAATTAAGTGATTTAATTTCCACTCATTTGCTCTTGATTTTCTGCCAAAGGCATCTATAGGGAAAGACGAACACTGCTGCTACTGAGGGAGTCAAAACCACAATACACAATCCATCAGACAAATTAAGGGCTGGGTTTCTTTATCACCACGAGCCTGCATCTGACCAGTAACACAAAGGAGAATGACAAGCTCTGGAACAGACCTGTTGACCAGAACTATGTAAACACCAATGATTTTATCAGATGTGTTCCTAACAGAGGAAAATAAAAGGGCAGGATATTTTGACAGTACCAAGGTGGGAAATACTAATTGCTAATACTAATATACATCAGTTAGATATGTAGCAACAGATTTACTAGACTTCAAAATAAATAAACTCCCCCTATCCTCTCACAAAGGTCAGTAATGTATAGCATAGGAAAACTGCCAACAGATTGAAATTTGTTTCTCAAGGCTACCTCCCTTCTGAATTAAACTGCTTGCAATGATCTCACTAAACTATTACTACTACCTGGCTCCTGGTAAAAACAGGATGGTTGAGCACTTACTTTAGAAATCACTCCCTCCCCTCTTCTACCTACACTTAGAAAATCCTTGTAGTTGTGGGGTTCACAGGGAGGTACTGCAGAAAGTCCATTCTCAGGAGTCTTAGAGAAACAGTCTCAATTTTGAAGCCAAATTGTTGCTCGTTAGTGATGTGTAAGTGAAAGAATTTTACATTATAGGAAAGAAAGATAACAGGGGCAAATCCGTGTTTTATATTTGTCACCTACTTTATGAAATCTTGGTCTCTCTCGTAAATTTTCAGCAATAAGAAATTAAGTGAAGTGCATCCCCACTCTTCCACAGTTTTATATTCAGGGCTATTTCATCAGTCAAAGGTATGGTTTTAACATCATTAAGGAGTGCAAAGGCTAAGACTAAACATGAACTTTTCACTTTTACCCTTACCAGTCTGCCACAGGGGACTATTTTGCACAGAAGTTGCCATCTTACCTAAGTAAGAGATTTTTCTCCACTTAGTAGCAAATACCTTCCTTTGCATTTTTCTTTCCACTGAAAGCCAAATAAGCATTACTTTAAAACTGTATTTTATCTTTTACCGGCCTTACCCCTCCATCACTAACCTTTTACAGAGCACTGCAAGGCTCCTGCTTGCTTCACTTCGCTTCTTCAAGGCAAGGAAATCTTCAAGAAATATAAGACTAAGGGATGCAGTAAGTGGAGACTTAGCCAACCCAACTTTCCTCACCCACCTTCAGTGCTGCAACTATGATGTTACTGTCCACAGCAATTGTTGTAGAGACTTCGCCAAATTTATCATGGTTTTGTCCTCTCTGCTGCTCCTTTACCACTTGCCACTGTGGAGATTAAAGGAGCAGAAGCCTTGAGGGTACAAATTACCTCTGAGCCAACCAGCCAGAGTGACGGAGGAATAACGTGACCTACACATTTTGTCCCTCACAAACATGTACTCCACAGACTGAGCTCATGAATTCCCCTTTCCTTGGCTCAAGGCCTGGAAACTTGAATCTTTACCAAGTGCCAGGCCTCCCAGTGAGGCTAAAATTAACCTCAGTTGACAGGTCAGAGCAGTCTGATTTCCCTGTATTTTGTAAAATACCGTTTTAAGGATAAGAGGTTAATAAGATTGTCTGAATAGAGGCATCTGAGACTATTTGGTGGGTATTTTAGATCTGAAAGGTTGTTTGGTTTGGGATTTTTTTTTTTAACAATCCAATGGGGATTATGCAACCTAACAACATCCCTCTGTCACTTATTGCAACCTCCTTGCTAACCACAGATAATCTCTAATGTAATATTTCACAGCAGCTTAGAATTAACAAATTCATTTACATGTTCCTCATGGCCAAGGAAACTGTTGTAAGATTAATAATGCAGTGGTCTTAAGGATTTGTAAAGCCCTCTGCTTCATTCTGCTTCTACAGTAAATGCTAAAATTGCAGTTTAACATAACAATCAACGGAATCAATAGTGCCTCTGACTTTATATGGCTCACTAGTATGTCTCATATGTCTTTTAGGACTCAATTTTCAAGCAATTAGGTTCACACCATCCTTTCCCTTCACGGTATCCACACTTTCCTGTTCCTTTGTGCTACATTTTCCCCTTTCTCATCATTAGTCATGTGCTTTCAGTACCCACTTCCAACTACTTGGTACTTCCTACAAGACTCTCTGGCAAACCAGCAGCAATCAGGAGCACTTTTACAGTTTAACTTTGTTAAATGAATACCAGTCAGTTAATATTTAGTAAAGAAGCCAGCTAGTACTGAAAAGAAAAAACTGCTCTACATGCCTTTAACTTTTACAAACTAAAAGAGAGCAAACCCATAAAAGAAATAAAAGAGGTATCCTTGATTCAAGCATTTTAAAAAGGTAATGAGTGCAAACCTATACTTTTGCATTGTCATTTCAATTTCTGTTCACCACTTGCTTCAGAAAAACAGTTCACATTGTGAGGTCAGGCAGAGAAAAACATAACAAAAGTTACACAGAGATTGTCAAACTTGTTAGTACCCTGAGTCAAAAAGGGCAGAATGTACACTGTACTTTTGAAAAAAGACTGGTTTCATGTTTGCTGTAACTTTTTTCCGACTTTAAAAAAGTCATTTTCCACAGAAAAACTTCATTCTATACATTGGCCAGCTTACTCTTGCCTCCAAACTAGCAACATACATTTTTCTATGCTTGCTTGGCCATGAGACAGATAAAACTATACTGAGAAGAATCTAGATGGATTAGGCAGATATACCTAACAATACAGGACAATGTCAGAACATGGTCAGTTGAAAATGCCCACCTACAACTTCGACTTCAAGAAAACAAAAATGACCCAAAAACGCTTGTGCAGAGCAGAGAGCTCACCTCAGTGAGTTCACACCCACGCCTTCCAAACTCTGTAAACTTTTATTGATGTCAAATTTATTAATCTACATTACCCTGAAGAGTTCATGAGATGAACAAAGATGCTGTAAACTGGACAAACAGCAGCAAGAGACTGATGCAGCAACACGGCCTGTCCAACAGGTTTTTGAGAACTAGACCAAATAACACAATGCTGCTGGGCCTCTGCAGATAACAGCTGAGGGGAGGAGAAATTTGCTTCTGTATTGATCAAAGCAGTGGTGGTGGCTGAGCTGCAAAGTGTGGTTTGGAAAAAGCACAGTCGGATGTGTGACTATGATAAGAGTCTGTAATAAAACCCAGCCGACCACGTCACAGACCAAACCAGAGCGCTCGTGAGAACACAACCACTGTTGTTAGGAATTACAAACAGCACTGTACGCTGCTGGGGGAAATGCAGTTTTAATTTCACCTAAATAGGTGCTGTATCCCCTATTCGTATCCTGATCAGCCATTACATTTATATTATGAAGGTGAATGACAAATGCCTCGAATTATTCTGCTGAGTAGGTAAGGACAGAGTGCTGGAGACGTCCCCAGTATGGAAGTGGAATTCAATAAGCAGCTATTTCAGGTATCTCTGACCTCCTATATGGAGATGAAACAAACACTTCACATGCCACCAATAAATATACTGAGTACAACTCAGATTAGTTTAAAAACTTCAAAGAAAAAAAGGTGTTTCCTCTCAGTACATCCTCCCATCCTGCAATACAAGCAGAGGCACTGTGACAGACTTATTGGTTACCCCTAATTGTTATTTTGGGCTTAAATTTTAAATAAATGTTCTGGGTCATATTGAAAATCTGAGTAAACGTAACTTACAGATCCACTGCCCACGAACAACCTACCAAAAATTGGACAGGCACCAGGGGTGCACGTTCATAACTAACTCCAAGCCTATGCTGTGCTGCCCCACATGTAGTCTAATTTTCAACATAACAGCTACAAAGTGTCTTTGGAAAACAAACACCTATTTTTATGACAGAAGAGATTTCGTAATTTACAGCGCAGACCACAGCCAATGTTTGCACATTGCTGCTCTCAAACACAACGGTGCCCTTGGCACCAATTGTTGGGTTTTTTTAAAGCTTATTTTGAAATATTACAGGACTGTTAAGAATGCTCCATACTTGGGCTAATTGAGTGAATTACATAACCCTCTTTATATCACAGGAAAATCCCAAAGAACAAGGGGGAAAAAACCACAAAAGCAAAAATCACCAAGTCTATTTAGGATAGTTGCTACTAGAGTTTTGCATGAAGTCAAGCCAGAGACACTCCAACCATCTTTAGAAATGACAGACATTTGTCATACAGTCAGTGGAACTTCGACAATGTAGTTCTGTGTGCGCACACACAAACATAATAATAATATAATTATATTATAATCATAAATTATAAAACTTACTTCTGTGTATCTGCAGCTTGTTTCCAGCCTCCTTGCAGATCCTGTGAGATATCTCTCCCAATATTGTTTAAGGTGGCAGTCCCTTTATTTACAGAATCTTCTTTTATCCTGGCTGTAGAACAGAGAGGCTCCTCAATTTTCGGATGCTTTGGCTGCACATCCTTTGGAAAAGTATTTGTGTTCCGTAAATCCTTTTCACATCTGTTGGGTTCATCTTGGAAGGTAGAGGATTTAGATTCCACCAAAGAAGATTTTGTTGCAATATTAAATAAGCTTCCAAGGAAATGAAAAAAACCTTCTCGGGGTTGCTTGTCTTTATCTGCTGTTTTGGTTCCAGGAGTCAAACTAGGAAGGCTATTAGCTTTTTTCAGTTCCTCCTGGATTTCAGACTTGCGAAGTTCTTCTGTGGAATGGTTCTTCTCTTCATTTTGACAAGCCTATGATGAATACAAAGAGCACATAAAGAAGATGTTTCCTTTCATTCTTAAATTCCTTAATTTTAATTTGCACCTAGGCATTGTATTCCTTTCAGGAGATCTGTTGTTTAAAGGTTCCTTTTAAGATTAAAGCCCAGTGCTTGCTCTCTTCTCTTGCTGTAGTAAAAAGATCCCTATTCTACAAAAAGCCACAGGACTACACAGGCTCAAAGATTCCCAAAGCAGCTGCTGTGGAAATAAATCCAGAAGGACAGATGGCAACAATTGCTTCAACTGGCAGAAGAAACACGGGGAAGAAGCAAGGAACAATATTCCATACTTCAGACTAAAGCCCTCAAAAAGCACAGCTTCACAAACAAACCTATGTGTGCTTGTGAGATGAGCAGTTTTCAGCCTGCAAACCTAGGCAAGAACACCAGAGCAGAAGACAAACACATCACAGCCCTCAATACTCTGCACTTCCAAAAAACCCCAGGAGAATCAAGAACAGGATTTGGATAAAGCGAACTCAACTCACATCCCAGAGATTAATCCTACCCTTAGCAACCCTAAAATGCCCCCTTTGGCCAGCCTTCCTTCAAAGGCACAGCTCCAATTCCAGATGAATTTGTCGTCTCCCACAGCCCCATAGTCCACCATGCTCAAACTCCCAGCTCTCCATACAGCCAAGGTCCTACACAGCACCAGCCCTGCACCGCGACCTTCTGAACTCCCCGTCAGCTCTGCCCTCAAACTGAAATGAATCAGCACCAAGGCAGAGCTTCACCTCACCCCAGCCACGTGTTCCTTTCTTCCCTCAGCTCAGCTGAACATCTCAGCCCAGAGGCAAGGCAAGCTCTTTTCCTCCCCACTTTATGCCCTTGAATTTCCTTGGTGTCAGCTCCTCTCAGAGACCCAAGGACCACTGTCCAAGCTCCTGTTACTTCTGCCAAGACCATCTGCCCAAAAAGATGATGCAACTTCACCGTAAGGCTTCACAAACACATTTTAATGTAAGCACATTTTCAGCTTCACAATCTGAAAATGCTTCTTCCCTGGACTAAAATTTTCTGGGAAGCACCTGCCCCCCATCTCACCCTTCACAGTGGTTGCCATATACTATTGCTACCTAGTTTATCTTTACAGTACAATCCTTGTAATTTCAATTCCTGATGCAACCCGGTTTATTAAAACAGAATAAAGTTACTCCAGCTTTTCTTGGATGAAATCTATCCTGCTCAACAGGAGTGGGAAAGGAGAACAAGAACAAAAAGTCCTATGCAAATTTTAGCTGTGTCAACAACGGATTTGGATAAGAGTAATTGTTTTAAATTGGGTAACACCTACCCACCCAATCTATGCAGAAAGCTACTATTTTCATTAGGTCACTAATCCCATTTCAACTTGAAGATTTGTTTCTAGTAACCTAAAATAAGCAGGTAGGTTTACTTGTTCATAGTCCTTCTAGGATCACATTATTGATGAAAAAGGTATTTTAATGAACACAGTTTAATCCTGAGGGAACAGCAATTTCTTAAAAACTTTCAAGTTACACTTAGTGATACTGGAGCAGTGATCTTTAAACTGCAAGCAATCCTTTTTCACCTTTTAAGTACAATTGCTTAATATTAAGTGTTCAGATAGATGTGTGTGCTGAAAATGGTTTATGTGAGGATAGAAACTGAATGGCACTAATCTGTCCTTGAGAAATCCACACAACCTCTATTTTCTTCATACAGAAAAGACACTTAAACAACCACCTCAGACTTCTAAGGAAACTTTCAAAAGTGGGCTAAGTCAAACTCTAGTCTTTTTTCATCCCCCCGTGACAAATTCCATCTTCTGAGTGAAGGTGACAACAGTCCAGCTCACAGATGCACCACACTTCTGGCTGCTGTCTTCGATACTAGACAAACTATCAAGTAACATGCAAGCCCGGAGTGAATCTCTTGACAATTAATTTTATCTCACAGGATCTGAGTACTTTGAGCAAGGAAATACAAAACAGAAGCAAGAAAAAAAATTATTTCCAAAATTTGATAAGAAATGAATGATTCACCACGTCAACTTCTAAGTTCTACTGTCACAGTTACTTCTTTCTCTGACACACCTCAGCATCTTCAATACCAGTTTTTGATTCAACTTTAAGTGAGGGAGGGTGTTTCTCCTCTGTTCTGTGATTAAGATCAGTCACACGTATTTGTCTGATTTAAAAGACTATCTCAGAACAGAAAATGCACACAAATCTTATTCTTTTCTCTGCACATATAACCCTTATAAGCTATAAACATTTATATTAAGTATTACAATATCTATGAAGTTAACTAAATGCAGCATTAATTAAAAAAGAAATTATTACATTCAAAACTTGTGAACAGTTTTGTATTATGGGAGGTTTTTTGTTTGTTGTTGTTTTGCTGGTTGGGTTTTTGCCCATTTTTTTAAAACCATCTGTATTCAGGAACTAGTAGCTTGGGGTTTTTTTCCTATTAGGAACTGAGACTTCAAATATAACTAAATCTCTACAAGCGAAATTCTTCTCTGAGCAGCTCTGAGACACAAGACTTGTAAAGACTGTGCTGCTTATTTGTAAGCATAATTTATGCCCTGCTTGAAAAGCTGTTTTGTAGTCTCTGCTTCCAGAAACAGAAATCTATTTAGACTTTCCTTCCTCTTTAATCTTCCTTTCTTTACTTAACTTTTGGTAAATCAAAAGAACAGGAAGTTTTAATATGAAAGGGTCCTTCCATACCTTTAACCATAAATAGCGTCTTGCATAGGAAAAAGTCCCAGAGAACATTTACATTGTGCTTATTTGAAGATATATGTGGATATTAAATCCTAACACAGAAACTATGCAAATCCTGCTTTCTTCTCTTCAATATAATCAATCTTACTCTCCATATATTTTCCCTCCTGCTCCACTTTGCCATAACAGACAGCAAGAGCTATTGGTGTTTTATCATTTGCACACAAAATCCCAATTCAGAGTCTGAGCCACTGTTTAGGCATTACACAAGCAGTACTGCTCCTGCTGCAGATTTTGAAGTTCGTGTTTTAAGATGATGCCATATTCAAATCACTGAGACAAAAGCACATGATCTTACTTACTGTAGAGCCAGTAAGCCTTTAACACAGCAGGAGCCTTCAGGCACAAGTTCCTGGTGAGAACAGCAGTAAGATGGTAATTCCACGAGCCACCATCACAGTAACTTTCACCTCTCTCTGAGCCTGTCTCTGACAGAAGTCCCCAGCAAAGAGGAAAAAAAAAAAGGCAAGGGCATAGGATACATATAAAGTAATCCTTTCCCTGGTATATCCCACCAGTTTTCAACAGTCCTGGCCTTTAGTTGACCTCAACAAAGCACAGTTGATTCCGTGTCACAATTAGGCCTGAGCGGTGTGTTATTCACCACAGTGAAGGAATACCAGTGACAGCTACACTTCATGTCACCAGTTAAAAAAAAAAAAATTAAAAAATCCCCTTACAGTGTCCAAGCAGTTTGAATAGCAAACAACAGCTTCTGGATGGAAACCTACCTGTCAGATCCCCTTTCAGATCCTCCCTGATGCAAGCAAAAAAAGGTTTCCAGCTGTAGTGTTGCCTTTCTGCTCCTTTTGTAACAAACTGTGAACAGATTTCCCCTTGCCTCCCCTTTCCCACTCTCTGTGAGCTTTCCTGCCTGTGACATGCTTCATGAAGCTTTAATTAGCTCTTATTCCTTTAGCAGCTCGTTACTCCAAGTTTCACTGAACGAGCCCTGGGTAACCTGGCCTGACCTCATCACCGAACCTGCTCTAAGCGGGAGGCTGGACTAGATGACATCCCAGGGTCCCTTCAACCTGAATTATCCTATGGACTCATGCCCTCACATGCAACGAGGCTGGTGTGGAGGGGAAGCCTGGCAGAGTGTGAGACAGGATTATGACTTGAATCAGGTGACTGAGGAGGCTGCAGTGATAACTGGAGCTGTGCCCACTGTGCGGTCTCACTTGGCCGGAGCAGCCGCGGCAGAGCAGCCTGGCAGCTGGGACCCAGGAGACAAGCCCACGATGTCATGGCTCAGGCATGACTCTTATCTCAGCTAATTTATTCAGTGGTAGACTAGCTATGTTCTCCAGGCTGTAATCTGCTCCTGCCTGCAGCCTAACTGCACCTACACAGTCAGGCACAGAGCTGGCTCCCAGTGTGAACAACCCCCCGGAGCACAGACAGCGCCACAACAGCACCCTGAGCAGGGATTGCCTTCTTCCCTGGTTTGCCTCACACCAGCTGGGAAGAGCAACCGTCTCTCAGCAGTTGGGTGGCTAAAGTTTAGACTGCCAGAGGTTCTCATTCAGCGAGGGTTACGTCCGTCTGCCAAGAATGAAATCTCTTTTATTGCCCTAACAAGTGAACGAAATGAAAACATTAACAGCATTAAAACACAGATCTCCGTGAACAAAGAATTAGCTTCCAGCCACGACTGCCAGACATTTCAGATCTCCCTGCCCATGAATGAATGCTCATTACAAAGCAGAAACTGCAGACAGACGCGTGGAGACCTCTCCCAGACCGCCCGTCCTGCTGCACTGGGAGCTGCTGATGGAGAACAATCTGCATGTGGCACGGATACACTCGAGCACTTCAACCACCTCATCCCACCTGCAGCTGTGAGAGAAGATGACCTGCCACCAGAATTTTAGGACTGTCACTGATTCACCCCCAGGGACTTTCAACAAGCCGTTAAACCCCAGTATCCTGATTTACTCATCTGAGAAACAGTTACAGCACTATTCCTGGATTTCTGTTTGCTAGCTTTGTAGAAATCATTTGAGAGTTTCAGATTAAAGTGTTGGATGCACAAAGGAGCACATTTAGGCATTGCTACCTCTAGTTCTGGAAAATTAATCGTGTTCCCAGCCTTAGCTTTGACCTTTCAACACAACTAAGGCAGCTGCATTTCATTTAACAATTATGAGTATCTCATTCAATTTGAACAGTGATATAGTACATTTTGAATGCTAAGCAAAATCCACAG